TTTTTTAATTAAAAATTGATATTAAAAGTGACATTACACTTACCTTTTTATTTAAAAGTGATACAATTCACTCAAATAGTAATCGAGGTTTAGTCCCTTTTTTTAGTTTTTGTTACTTTTTAAAAATTTCTATCACTTTTTTGAATAACAAACATAGGTTTTGATTGATGCTTTGTCACTTTTTCAAGTATTTGTCACTTTTTAAAGTTTGTATCACCTTTTTAGTGTCACTTTTTTGATTTTGTGTAAAAGTGACAATTTTTATAAAAAAAGTGACGTTGTATCACTTTTTCATTTTACACAGTATTTTTTACTTCCTAAAAACCTTTTATATGATTTTTCAAAACACCCATAATTTTAAGGGTATTTTTGTAAATACCCCTAATAGGTATGTATTTGAGTTGAAGTGGGTTGTTTAATGGGCTAATGGGCTAGATTGAGTAAAATGGTGAAAATGGGCTTATGTGGGTGTTTTAAATTGAAGTTTTAACGGGCTCCATATGACTTTGGGTTGGGAATTGGGTACCGTAAAATTAGGCGAGGAAATTGCATAATTCCAGGGGTTTGAAAATTGGAATTCAAAAATTAGGGACCAAGTTTCATTATTCAAAATCAGGTAATATATAAAATCTCTAACCCTAATTTTTCGCTCTCTACTCCCTCCCTCTCCCTCTCCCTCTCCCTCTCTCGCTTCCTCCTCCCTCTCCCCTCTTATTCTCTCTACTTTCTCCCTCATTTAACGGGGCCACCGGAAGACGAGAAGGCGCCAACGCCAACGCCATTAGAGCTTTATCTCTATTCTTCTTCTTGTTATTATCATCATTCCAATTATTTCCATTCTCATCTCCACTTCCGCCGTCGCCGTTGTTGCTGCCTCCGCCGATTCCTCCATTTCCTTTTCCGTTGGAGATGTCGGTGATAATGTCAGTGTTAGTGACTGAGGAATTGGTGGAAAATGGTAAAAATAGGGCATGGTGGTATGTGGGGTTTATGGTTATTGAGAGTGAAAAGAGGTGGGTTTTGGCAGTTGAGAAAGGACGATGTACGGAGGCCGAGGAAGGGAGATGGTTGTGGAGTGAGAGAATGCGGTGGTGGTGTGGTGGAGGTAATGTTTACGAAGATCGGCATTTTGGTCGTGGTCACGCCTTTGCCCTACTCTCTCTAAACCTTTTGTTTTTCTTTGTTTTGTACAGAAAGACTATCTTTGTTGGTGGTGTTGGCAAGAGGTGGTGGCGGGTTTGTGGTGGGTGGTGGAGGTGGTTGTCAGTTGCTTTGTTGGTGCTGCTGCGGTGTGGTGAGGATGGTCGAAAGTGGTCATAGTGGTAGTGGGGTAGTCTGTGACTAAATGTTTGGTAATCTGTGATCAATTACTCAACTGTGACCTAAAAATTTAATAATATGTGACTCAAAAATACTTTTTGACTAACTAATTTAGAAATCTCTGACCTCGAAATAATTTGTGACGTACAAAATTTTCAATTTGTGACCTCAAAATAATCTGTAATCAATTAATTTTAAAATATCTTACATGTGACCTATAATTATATATATATGACCATTAATTATATAATTATGATTTTATTATATTTAATGAATAAATATATTTAATTAGTTAACTAAAAACCTGATTTTTGAATTGTGTATAGTTAATACCTTACTTTTGAACTCTTCCCAAATTAGGTTTGGGAAAATGGCTAAGGAAGAACAACAGCAATATGAACTGAACGTGCAACAGATTTTATAACGAATTTATCTCTCTCTCTCTCTCTCTCTCTCTCTCTCTCTCTCTCTCTCTCTATTTTTTTCAACAGTAAATAAAAATAGATGTATTGACTGCTGTTTTCGGAATTTTTTTTAACTATCTCAAAACGAGAACTGAGAATTGAAGGAAAACTGTTGCTACTATGGTGATTAATTTCCTCATGTTGTACTGTTCTAAGGCTTAGCTGAAGGTAGTTATATGGATTGGATGGGTGGGGATGTAGCTATGCAGTGGGCGTATGGATTGGATATGGTTTAATGATTTTGTGTGGTTGAAGGTGGTGGATGAATATTGACCAAAGGAGATGGAGCTGTGTAGTAGGCGTATGGATTGGATTGTGCAAGAAAAAAAATCTTACCCAGATTTAGCTCTGATACCAAATTTGATGCAGGATGGGAGACAAGGCAGCAAGAAGGGGAGGAGAAACTGGAGGGAAGGGGGAGGGGGGGGAGAGAACCGGAGAAGAAGTAGGGAAGGGGGGAGAATTAGGGAAAATGGATAATCATTGGCTGGAAGTTAAAATGTTTTTTAATTTCATATAATCATTGTCTAATCCAATTACAATGAAAAACCCTTAAATAGTAAAAACCTAGCCAATTGATGGGTTTGAGCCAACCCACTACTACAAGCCAAATAATAGAAAACATAAATAATAAGGTCCCATAACAATAAAAACAAAATCTCGATGATTGATGTCCACATTAGACCACCAGAGGGAACTTTTGCAAATCCACCACGCTTGCTGGTATTGATCCTGTCAGCTGATTGCCATACAGACTTAACACTAGCAAACTACTGAGATTTCCAATTTCACTTGGAATGCTACCTCTAAGATGACAAATATAAACATAAAGATATCGAAGAGAAGTGGAAAGATTTCCAACTGAAACTGGAAGAATGCCATTCAAGGGATTATCATCAAAACCCAAATTTATTAATGTTAGAATTCGAGTGTGACCCGAATTCTTTGTTTGAAATATTGAAGAATTCTAATTGAAGTGCACGTTAAGGAGAATTCAATTTGGAATGCTATTTGAGTCCTATGTCAAGTTGAGGTTCTATTTTAGAAGCTCATTGAGAGTTGAGAATCGGTATTAGACTTAAAAAGATTTCGGAACAGAGAAAAACAAGAAAAAAAAATTATGGGCAGCACGCTCGGCACCGTGGCACCCGGAGGTGGGCATCGCTGTGCCATTTGTCCTGTTCCTTTTTTTCCTCATTTTTCTCTCCTGTTTCATTTTTGACTCGATTTTTTGGTGTCGTGTTTCATCAACAACTCTATTAGGAGGGTTGGACGTCCCCTACATATTCCCTATAAGTATTTGGGTTTTCTATACAATTTCGTAATGTGAGAAAATAAATTACTAGAATTGTAAAAACAATTGTAATTTTCTCTCTTCTACATTATTCACGAGTCAATAAAATCTCTTAATTACTCTACCATATTTCTTGTCTTTATTATTCTTTTACTTGATCTAATACTTCATTATTTACCATAAAAATTCAAAAATTCAGTATGGTGGTTTGTTTCATCAAATGTATTCAAACAATACATAATTCTTGTATTTCTAACATTGCCATCAGCGATCAAGGCATACTAATATTTCTTCTAACAAAAAATATTTTGATTGTTTCATAACAATTGGCATCAGAACCTAGTTTCAGTAGTTCCGCAAGAACTCAATGTTTGATTTGTTCGAATTTTTTGTTCGTTATGGTTACCATGAAGTATGACATTCTGCTTTTGGATCGGAGTACTAAATTTTCGCAATGGTAGGTTAAGATGCGTGCAAAACTTGCATAACAAGATTTGGATGATGCGTTGCTAGGAATTGAAAAGATGCTAGCAACTTTGACAGTTGAGGAGAAATCACGAAATGATAAAAAGGCAGTTTCTCACGTTCATCTTCATCTATTCTTCAAGATGCTTTGAAGGAGGGGTCAGCAGTTACTTTATGGTTGACGCTGGAGCAATTGTGCTTGACCAAGATTCTAACAAGCAAATTGAATCTCAAGCATCGGTTATACTATCATCGATTGGTAGAAGAAGGATCATTGGAAGATCATCTGGCTGTATTTAAGGAGATTATTGCTGATTTGGAAACTTTGGAAGTAAAGTATAATGAAGAAGATTTGGCATTGATCCTATTTTGTTTGTTGTCCTCTTCGTTTTCTTCATTTAGAGAGACGATTTTATATAGTCGTGTGATACTCTCACCATAGATGAGGTGTATGATGCTTTGTTCTCTAAAGAGAAGATTAAGCATCTGATTTAAAAGGCTAGAGATGGAGAAAGTCTTGTTGCTTATGGTGGTTTTGGAATGGGAAGATCGAAGTCTAAGTTTAGTTATCAAATTTGTAACTTCTGCAAGAAGAAGGGGCATTTGAAGAAGGATTGCTA